TTCTGCATGAAACATTATATTTTAAAATGAAATGGGGATCTTTTTTTAAAGGTTAAAACCTCATTTAATTTTATGTCTTCTAGGGTTTATACTGAGTACAATATTGTATAACTGTAATAATTCAACTGCAAACCTACAAATGTACAGCCAATTTTGTAAGAAATGCAGCCTAGCTCAGAAAATTGTTATTGACAGTGTCAATGCTGATGTAATGAAATACTTCTTCTAAGTATGTGGTAATTAAATAAATAATTTTTTAAAAACTAAAAAAAAAAGATGTGCACCACCCCTAAAAAAAAAAGATTTTAGGGTTACCTCTTCAGAGGGGGGAATGTTGGAGGGGAGGGAGTGGGCATGGATTTGATCAAAACACCTTATATGTATGCATGAAATTCTCAATAAAGTTTTTGTAAAAATTTTTTAAAAAAGAACTAAACTTTTATTTGAAAAGTGTTCAGGATTGTTTACCACTTTGGACAACAGCATTGCCAGTAGCATAGAGTCATCAATATCACAGACTCATCAGTATATCAGTCAGCATTGCTAATGTTTATACCTGTGGTGAATCTACACAGACCTAGAGGAGTATGCGCTTGAGGACTTCTCTATGTTTTCTAATACAGTAGAAGCTGGCCATTTGTAGTTTTAAATACTTTAAATGTGGGGCTGGGGAGATCAGGAATCAGTAAGGAATGCAAGTGCTCTCCTGGCTTTCTTTTTTCTCCCCTTTTTGTCCAGTTCAGGACCCCAGCTCATGGGATGGTGTGGCCCACATTTAGGGTGAATTTTCCCTTCTTAGTTAAACCTCTCTGGAAATACCATCATAGACACACCCAAAGGTGTGCCCCAGTAATGCCCAAATGTTTCTTAATCCAATCAAGTTAGCAATAGAAATAGACATCACATACTTCTAATTTCATACTATTAGAAACAAAGAATGTAAGGGAAATATTCTACCTCTGGGGTAATGTTGCAGCAAGACTTTTGATTTATTCTTATTTTATGTGTGTTATGCCTGCGGGTATGTCAGATTCCCTTGAACTGGAGTTACAGACAGTTGTTAGCTACCATGTGGGTTCTGGGATTTGAACCCAGGTCTTCTGCAAAAACAGTCAGTGCTCTTAACTGCTGAGCCATCTCTCTAGCCCCCACATCAAGATTTTTAATAGGGAGACATATTTCGGTGGCAGAGTACTTGCCTAGTGTGAGCGTGGCCCCAGCGCAATGCTCAGCGGTACAGGAACAAAACCATCTAATCTTTGAAAATCTCTAGAGATTAAAACAGTTTTCTCATTTCAAATCGAATTTCTCTAACATTGTTTAAGCACCTTTTGAATATTTTTCCAGAAATGTTGCTGCCTCAGTTAATGTTATTGCCTCAGAAATGGTAATTCATTTCTTTAACACATTTTTTCCTTTTTAAAAAATATTTTTTAAAAATGTTGTGTTTGTGTGTAGGTGCACATGCCTGTGTATGCATGTGCAGGTAGAGGTCAGAGGTCAACAATGGGTGTATTCCTCAACTGCACTCCACCTTATTTTTTTGAGACAGGAACTTTCTGAACCAGGAGCTCACTAGTTCAGCTACTGACTGGTCAGCAAGTCCCAGGGATCCCCTGTTCTCTGCTTCCCCAGCACTGGGCTTACAGGCGTGTGCTGCTGTGTCCAGATTTTTACGTGGGTGCTGGGGTTCAAACTCAAGTCCTTGTGCTTATGAGGCAATCACTTTACCAGCTGAGCCGTCTTCCCAGACGTCTGCTTCTTTTTCTTTTCCAGATGATTTGTAATTCTTTACATATTCTGACTAAAAATTGTTAACACAGATGTTGGAAATCACATCTCCTGCTCTACTGCCTTGAACCTGCTTCCCCAGCACTGGGCTTACAGGCGTGTGCTGCTGTGTCCAGATTTTTATGTGGGTGCTGGGGTTCAAACTCAGGTCCTTGTGCCTTTTTCCTTTATTGCTTTGTTCTTTGGGTCTTCTGAAAGGTTGTTTCCTCTACACTTCATACAGCTACATAGTATTCTACTGTATGTATAGCATATATCATTAATTTTTTTACTATTTAATATTTTATTTTTACTTTGTGTGTATGAGTGTATTTGCCTGCGTGTATGTGAGTGCACCCGTGTCATGCAATGCTGTGGAAGTCAGAAGAGGGCTTCAGATTCCCCTGGAACTGGAGTTAAGGACAATTCATAGTTGCCATGTGGGTGCTGGGAATTGAACCCAGGTCTTCTGCAAGAGCAGTCAGTGCTCTTAACCGCTGAGCCATCTCTCCAGCCCCTATTTATTTTTATTTTATGTGTATGCATATATTGCTGGCATCTGTAAGTGCACCCATGTTATGCAGTGCCCACAGAAGAGGGCGTCAGATTCCCTGGATGTGGAGTTACAGATGGTTAGCCATGATGTGGGTGCTGGGAACTGAACCCGGGTCCTCTGCAAGAGCAGCCAGTGCTCTTAACTGTTGAGCCATCTCTCCAACCCCATATATCGTAACTTATAAGACCCTCTCTTACAAATTTAGCTTAATCTTTCACTAATGTAAAGAGTATTTAAGAAACAACTGTGTTCAGTGTAATAGGTTTCTGTGGTCATTTGTTTTTTGTTGGTTTTGTTTTGGGACAGGGTCTCTTGTAGCCCAGGCTGGCCTTGAACTCCCTATATAGCCAAGGATGACCTTGAACTGATCCTCCTCCTTCACTTCTCAAGTACTGGGATTATAGGCATTTGCCCCATGTGAGTCTTGATTTTTAGTTAATGAATGAATTGCTATTTTTCACGACTGGGGACCCGACCCAGAACCTCTGACACAGTAGGCAAGCACACTACCACTGAGCTACATCCCCAATTACTTCTTAATTCTCTGCTGCAAGGTCTCACTAGGTTGCCCAGGCTGGCCGCACTTCACTTTACAGTCCAGGCAGGCCTTGAGCCTTCAGCCCTTCTGCCTCATCCTCTCTGGCAGCTGGGATTACAGGCCTGCAGCATGAGGCCCAGCTCTCAAGATGGTATTTTAGCAGATATCTATCTTAGTATTTAGCAAAGTATTTCTTGAATACTGATGAGAAAGGCTGGAAGTTTTTTCCAAGCTTACATCAAGGTATGCTTTAAAATGCATCCAATGTCAACCACATTATTGGGAAATTAGCTCTACAGTGCTGCTCCCCCTTGGCTAATCCAGAGTTTATTCTGCTTCTAAAATGAAGGCATGAAGATAAAGCTTAGCTTTTCCCTAAAGACTGTACTTCCGAGGGGTGACACCAACTACCTAGGATGGGTCTGTGATCACATACCCAAGTGTTTCACTGTATCTTGACTTCAGTGTAATGGTGCCATTTTGCTTGCTGAAATTCAGGTTTACATCTTAGAAGGGGTCGGATAAGTCTGTAAAGATGAGGTAGAGGGAAGAGATGCCTGAAATTCAGGAATCTGGGCTGCGGCAGAACTGGGATGCCCTGCTTGGGATCCAGCAGAGGGTGGCAGCGGCAGCAGCAGGGGCGGTGGGGCTCTGGATCCTGGAGGTATGGATTCATGTCCAGAAGGGTGAGCTCCATATCCCACAGGCAGGGCTTCATAACCGGGAGGTGGGGATCCAGATCCCCCAGGTGTAGTTCCAGATCCTGGAAGTCGGGCTCCGTATTCAGGAGGTGGGGATCCGTACCTCTGAGGTGGTGCTCTGTATCCGGGAGGTGGTACTCCAAAGCCCGCAGGCAGAACTTGGTATCCAGGAGGAGAGGAGCTCCCAGGTGGAATCCTATAAGCAGGAGGCGGGGCTCCGTAGCCCGGGGGCGGGGCTCCATATCCCGCAGGTGGGCCTCCACAGACAGCAACCTGGAGTGCTAAGGAAAAGGGAGATCATTTCAATTACCCTGTGGACAAAGAATAAGAGGGAAGAACATAAAAAACAATGCTGAAGGAATCTAACACAAGGGAATTTAGCCATTACCAGGTGAAAGCCTTATATTTTCTTCTAGTAAGGGATCAGAATGAACGTGAAACAGCCTTATGGTTACATGGGCCATCACTTAGAGTTGTATGGACATGCATATTTTATTTGATAAGTTTGTTGTGATCATGAATAGAGAAACACACAATGAGGAATATTCTTTGGACGCTAGAAAGGAAAAAAGTGATTTTTTTAAAAGGTCAATCTGGGCTGGAGAGATGGCTCAGTAGTTAAGAGCACTGGCTGCTGTTGCAGAGGACTGGGATTCAAATCCCAGCACCACTTGTCAGCTAACAATCAGCCACAACTTCAGTTCCAGGGGAATCCAATGCCTTTTTCTGGCGTCTGTGGTCATCGTACTCATCAGTGCACTTACACACATGCAGGCAATATACTCAATATGCATAAAAAATTTTTAATTAAATATTTTTAAGGTCAAGCTAAGGCCAGTGAGATGGTTCAGCAGGTAAAAGCACATGTTCTGAGCTTGAACCCTGGGATCTGCATGGTGATAGGAGAGAGCCGACTCATGCACGTTGTCCTCTAACCTCTACACCCACACACATGCACCATGGCACAGGTAACTCATATGCATGCACAATAAATGTAATAAAGTTGGTGCATGCTTCTATTACCAAAGACAAACATTTAATATTTTGACAAATTTCTTTGTAGACTCTCTGAATACCTTTCATCATAATCATACTGAACATAGAATTTTAAAATTATTTATTTTTACTTTATGTGTATGAGTGTTTTTCCTGCATGTATGTAAGTTCACCCATGTCATGCCATGCCTGAGGAGGTCAGAAGAGGATGTGGGATCCCCTGGAACTGGAATTACAGATGGTTGTTAGCTGCCATGTGAGTGTTGGGAACTAAACCTGGGTCCTCTGTAAGAGCAGCCAGTGCTCTTAACCACTGAGCCTCTCTCCAGCCCTGGAAGAGACATTTTCTTCAGTAATGTAGCACACATATGCATGCATGTGGAGGCCCAGGGCTAATGATGAGAACCCTCCCTAATCACTCTTCTACCTTATTTACTGAGGCAGTGTCTTGTGGTCAAACCCAGAGGTCCCTGAGATGGCTGGTTTTGCCAGCCAGCTTGCTCTGGGGATCTGTCTCTACTTTCTCAAGCTGGAATCGCAGGTGGGCTACCAGGCCCACTCAGCATTTATGTGGGTTCTGGGGACCTGAACTCCAGTCCTCACGATTGTGCAGCAAATGCTTTAACCACTGAGCCATCTCCCCAGCCCTATTTTTTTGTTAGATTTAATAAATAGATTTAATAGACAATGTTTTTTCAAAGGAATAGCAGCTACAGTATGATTATAGTATATGGGTAAGTGAAATGGATGACATTAATAGATGAAGGATAGGAGGGTTTGGAAATATTGTTATTAGACACATATACTACCCATGAAGCAGTACTGCATTATTTGAAACTAGAAAATGTACTTGTAAGTGTATATTGCAAGAGCTAAAGCAACCACTGAAAATCCGTTCATGGAAATATGATAAATATTTTAAGAGCAGGGAAAACAGAATCTTAGGAAATAGTCAATTAAAAGACCCAAACTATAATCCCAGCACTCAGGAGGCAGAGGCAGGCAGATCTCTGTGAGTTCAAGGCCAGCCTGGTCTACATAGTGAGTTCCAGGACAGCTGGGGCTACAGGGAGACCCTGTCTCAAAAAGACACCCCCCCCAAAAAAGACCCAAACTAGCAAAACTCACCCAAGGAGTTCTTAATGTTTTCACTAACCCTATATTTATTAAATATGATCAACAATGATAAATTTCAACAAAACAAAACCCCGGGGTTCAGGAAGTAACTCAATGATAGAGCCCTTGCCTAGCATGTATGAGCCCCTGGATTCCATCCCCAGCACCAAAATGAAAAAGAAAGGAAAAATCAAACAAAGAAATAACAACGAAAACAAAAAAATGGGTAAATAAATAGCACCAGGCCCAGAAGGGTTCACTGATAAGTTCTACCAGCAATTTATAGACGAAATTATATAAATTCTCTATATCTCTTCCTGAAAATAAGAGGGAACATTCTTCACATTCTCTTATTAAAAATGCCCTAATATCAAAACTAGATGAAGACATCTAGGAAAAATTTATATGAACATCTTTCATGAACATAGTTGCAAATATTCTCAAAACAAAGTATTAACAAATGAAATCCAAATACGTCCAAAGTAATCATACAGAATATCAAAGCATGGTCTATTCCAATTGTGCAAACATGGTTCAACATTTGAAGATTAATGTAAGCCAGCCAGGCATGGTGGCACACACCTTTAGTCCCAGAACTCAGGAAGTAGAAGCAGGTGGATCTCTATGAGCTCAAGGCCAGCCTGGTCTACATAGTGAGTTCCAAGCAAGCTAGGGCTACAAGGAGACTTTCTCAAAAAGACCAAAAAAAAAAAAAAAAAAAAAAAAAAAAAAAAAAA